TTTTCGTCCATGGTGGTTACAACCACCTATTAAACCAATGGGTGCCTCAAAAACCTCTTCGAAATTCGTGAAAATCAATTTTACTCGTCTAGTAACTGCCACTGGCGCTTAAGCGCGAGGTCTCGACGCTTAGGCGCAACCTTCTTTGTTTAAATGACGCTTAAGCGATGGATCTGCCGCTTAGACGCCAAAACTCTTTTGCACAATTTTTCACTTTTTTGCTCCAAATTTGATCATTTTTCACTCATTTAAGTATTTTTTTCATTTTTACTTGTATCTGCAAGAAAAACACAAAAATACATTCCATTAAAGTGCAATATCTCAAAAATGGATATAAAAATGTAGATAAAAACACTATATTTTTGGTATATCAAAATCCCTCAAACTTAAAATGTTATTTGTCCTCAAGTGACCCTTATAATCATTCTATATTTATTATTCCCTAATTTTGCATTTTAACAATTAGAAGCTTTCCTAAATTGTATAAATAATACATGAATGTTGGAATAAAATACTCAACCAATGATCTCTAATTTTTGCCAATTATGTTGAAATTTTATAACCAAACTAATCAATTAAAATACTAAAGACTTGTGGCCTCGTGGTCAGCTTGCCACACAAATTGTCATGTTTTGTAAATCAGGCCTTATCTCGCTCTTGACAACAAATTTGTTGTGATCTCTAATCTTCTCTTAAAAAAATGGGAACAAAGCTAATATTGACAGTTTGGGTTGTAATTGAGCTGAGTTTAGTAGATTATGTTGCAACTTGGACAACTTAGTCATATTATTTGTTGTTCATGTTCGACTTGAGCTCAAGTCGAGCTTTTACATGTATGTTCATACTTGATTTGTTTATTTTTTTTAATAATTGTGTCTTGTTTGTTTGTTTAATTAGATGAGTATTTTAATGAGTTAATAAATAAGTTAAAAATTTGAATAAATATATGACTTTTCGTTACGACCTGGCCAAGGATTTTGGAATTTCCATGGTGGGAATAAACAATCGACCATGATTTCAAATATAATTGCTATATCTAAATCCAACAATAATGAAATAGCGAACGAACAACTCTATTTAAAATAAAAAAATAAAAATAAGAATAAGCCACATAGAACTTTTTTTCTTCTATCACTCATTTTAGTTGAACTATAATAACATAATGAGTTTTAAAAAATCTAGTGGAATAATTACACTTTTGAAACATATAAGCTAAGTGAAAAAAAATTGATATGTATACTAATCTTTCCTATTAGGTTATACAAAATAATCATATGATAATGTGAACATATTAATAAAATTTATGATAATGAATGTCATCTAAAATTTTCAAATGCTTAAGTTTTTGGAGTATCAATTTTTTGCTTTGCTTTTCAAAATTTAAATTTGTATCATTCAGTGTTATTTATATATTTTTTAATTTATACTTCTGTCTCAATAACATTGTATAAACATAACCTTATACATTCATGGCTGATATATAACTATCGACACAATAGGGTGTAGAGCAAGTCACTATTATATGAAGTGAAAATGTTCCCACTCATCTCTAAATGATAAATCCTTAATTGACATAGTGGGTCGTGTTTTTAATTTAATTATTGCTTGAAATAACAGATAAACTATCCACACATGCGGGTGTATTGGTGTCACCAACCATTATCATAACGAACCAAACTCCTTCATTTTAACATGTACGTAAGCATGCATATAAAGTGTTTTCATTTGCATTCGTTCTAACTTACATTATCACCTTATATGATATGATTTTTGTCTATTAATTAATATATATCATATTGTAGAAACTGTGTGCCTCATGCTGTAAGTCTTAATACCGATGAATCTTTCATTCTTACAATATGATAGATCGAGCATAATATAGAGCCAATCAATAGAAATTATGAATAGAACGAATTTGAATTCAAAATGTATCAATTAAACCTATAATATTCAAGACCATGAAATAATACTTAATCTCATAAAGATAATTACCTACATCAAACAAACTTCTCCTTAAGCTTTATCCTCATCTTGTCAAATACTCAATCCTACATATCATATTCAACTTTATATGTAAGACATGCACAATTAAAATTCTTTTGTACCTATAAATTACAATATTCAAAAGATTACAGTTAATTGAGTTCTTAAATTTTTCTGACTCATTAGTATTATTTAGTATTTTTTATAACATTCTAGCTTAGTTTTTTTACTTCTCATTTCAAATAATAGTGGAATTAACACATCCCTTGTGCTGACGTGGTAAATATTAGTTGGGGGTGTGATAGATTATATTTAGACGGTGCTTTTGAAACGGATGTATAAGTTAAGAAATATAAAGATCATTATAATCTATAAGTTTAAATTTAAAAGGTAAAGCAAAATTATTACTAAAAAACTTATGCATTTAAAAATTTTAGATGACAATGATAAATATAAATTTCAATAATTTGTTTGTTCATATTGTTATATGATTATTTTTGTATGACTTGAAAAGATCAATATGTATATTAATTTCTTTTCATTTAGCTACTGTGATTTAAAGGTAATAATTCAACAGTTTTTAAAAATTCCTTTTGTTATTATAATTTAGGTTAAAATGAGTAATAGAAGAGAGAATGCATACCATAGACAAGGCAACTCCGGAGTAGAATAAATTTTAAAAAATTGTTTGCTTTAAATCTTGTAGTTCATTAACTCTCTCATTATCATTGGATTTAGAAATAGTAATTAAATTCGAACTTATCATCCAACAATTTATTTTCGTCTTAAAAGTTTCAAGCTTTCGGGGAGGATTGTGATATCCTTTTATATAACGTTATTAATAAATATTTTTTATAAATCTAAACAAATAAACAGTCGAAGATATTTTGAATTAATATTCACGTATTTTTCACCAATTAAATAAATAATATATAAGTTGTAAATAAGTTTCTTACATTTAAATAATATAAATAAGTGTTAAGGAACTAGTTCATTGAAGTAAATAAATATTAAGGAATTATATTAGATTAATTTGCATATTGATATTAAATTATTATTTTTTATGACTAAATATATAATTAAATGTCTTATAGTTAACCAAAATTTAGTTTAATAATATTTCATTTAATTATAGATAATTTAATAAATTATTGAACAACAAACAAGTTTATTCTTGAATATAAATAAAGAAGCTGAAACATTTTTATTTTTTGTTCATTTAATCTTCAAGTTTTTAAAACAATGATCATACTTGTTTATTTACTAATTTAAACAAACTTGATGGAGTTTTAATCGAGTCCTATTCAAGTTATTCATCGATTACATTGTTTCATTTACAGCCCTACTAGCACTTTGAACATGAAATAATTATCAACATGGCAACTTCATAAGTGACTAGATTATGATATCTATTAAGGTAACATTAAATTATTATGTAGTTAAGAGTCCATGCTGTCACTTCTGGAACGGTTAATTAAAATAATGTTATATAATTTAATAAAAAAATTTCAATACCAAATGTTTAATGATGCTGCTTTATGTACACCCGTTGGGGTATTATTTTGCTGCATAACTTTTTCTAGTCCAATTTTAGAATGCATTTTACTTTTCTCGCACTTAACCTAGTACAGGTTCCCTTTTCCTTTTGGCATTCTCTTTCCTTGTTCTTATCATCCTTACCTTACATGAATATACAACACTGTCACGACAAATATAAGCTTTATAGTATTTCCATGCTGTTCTTGAGTTGCTACTTCTTGCCTGGAACCATGTAATTACGTTCAACAGCCTCATGAAGGCGTGAAGCAATTTCAGATTATTATTTTCAATTCGCTCTACTAAACGAGTTTGTGAAGAAGCTTCACTTAGACATCTATAGACAGCTATATTTACATATTTCTACAGGTTAAAGTGGACCCTGGGCAACCAGCTTTGCTAACATGGCAACGAAATTTAAGACACAATGAGCGAGATCCATCGGAGTTCCATCTAACTGTCAGAGAAATACTGCAAATGGTACCATTTGAAATATATTTATTCCAGGCAGCTAAGATCTTTTTTTTCTCTTTTAGGAAAACTTTGGTCCTTACCTTGGGATGCGTGGTGATAAAAATTAAAATACATTCAAAGTGGTTGCTGGTGTTCACATTTTTTTAATGAAATCTTATGTTAGATTTTGGCTAATTTATATTTAAATTTAAGTAATCATAAATTTCTCTTTACATTGAGTTTTTTTTTTTCTCATTTAATCTATCATTTCAATTCACCACAGGCTCATTTAGGCTTTCGGCTTGGGCGGCATGTTATAGAAGAAACTGCTAAAGGAAAGGTGCAGTATTTCTCTTCTTGATGCTAAACTATTTCAGTGTTAAATAACTATTAGATAGTTTAGAGAAGATTTTGGTAATTTAATTGGTATATTCATATTCGTTTTCCTTATTCCATTGTCTATGAATTTCATGTAGGCCTCAATTATTGATCCTTTAAAAAAACGCATTGCTTCATCTTGTCATGGTGTTCCTCTAGGAGGAATTGGGTAGGCTTCGATTCACCTTTCACATTTTTTTTTTTCTTATTTAGCTTGGATGCATCACTTTCAATAGTTGGAACTCTTCACCATATCAATTCTCAAGAATTATTGGGGTAATTGGTTTTTTTTCGATGAACGGAGTTATCCAGACATTCTTACTGTTCTGAATCCCTCCAGTTGTTGGCTTTTCCTGTATTTGCAGGTAGTTTTTCCGTGCTATTATTAACTTTGAGAGAGGAGCACGTGAATTATGCCCCTTAAGGCTGGTTGTTTTTCAGAAAAAGACCGCCAATAGTTTATATATCATTGATGGTTAAGCTTATGAAGAACATTCATCATATACTGGCTGTCTTTTTTAAATGCTACTATTTTCTAATGTCAAGTTTTAAATGATAGCGAATATAAATTTAAGATCTGTCATTTTTTTTGGATAACACTGAGCCTATTTTCTAGACATAGATTGTCTGGATGTGTATGCGGACGGATCGAAAATGAGCAGACTAGATTAGCAGATAATGAAAAAAAAATCATTTCTAAGATTATTTGGATAGAAGTTCCTCAAAATTATTTGGTCAAAATAGTTTTAACACTAATTCGAAAATGAAGACTCATCAAGGCCATATTTTTGTGATGAGGCTAATTAAGATGATGAATTTCTAGTTACTTTTTTGGAAAGCACTAATGTTATCATAGTTCTTGATTTTTTTTTATCTGTTCTTTTACTTTTAAGCTTCAACTCTCAGTGCAGGTAGTATAGGAAGAAGCTACAAAGGTGATTTTCAACGCTGGCAATTGTTTCCTGGAGTTTGTGAAGCTAAACCCGTCTTAGCAAATCAATTTTCTGTAAGTTCAGTTCATAGCGCTTTGAAGTTTTTGCTGTGGCTGCTTTGCCATGATTCAAATAATATCCTTCTATAAAAAATTAACATGATTTCATCTTTTGTGCTATATCAGTACATTACTTTTATTGTTATTTTCATTGTTAAGCATGAACATGTAATAATACTTTTTGTTGCGAGTGTCCCGTCTTGTAGCGGGAGATTTCCTCTCTATTAGGTTGCGTTAGGCCATGTGGGTCAAATTTGCCTTATTTCAATTTATAATTAGGGTTTAATGTAAGCATGTTGTTTTAGAACTTATTGGACACTTACCTTTTTATTTCATACATTTAAGAGATTGTTTTGGTTTATGCATTAGAGCGATTGTTTTATCTAATTTTTGCCCTATGACTATTGTATCATTTTTTTTATAAAAGTGGTGTACAAGTTTGTTTAGGACTAAGTGGTGGATCAATTGACTTTTCTATCTCACTGGTTTCTTCGTTTATTGTGTTATCCGCTGTCTTCCCCTTGGGCAGCAGTTGAACTCTTTTGCTTTTCCTTCCTACCTCTACACCTTTGTATATTATCTTTTGTAGCTATTCGACAACAACTCCCCGTTCGATTCGATTCTCACACCTTTTTAAAAACCTAGAATGGTTTCATTTGGTATTAGAGTTTGACAAATCTTAAATCTTTAGGGAATTATTTTCAGGACTCCTTAATCTAAATCTACATTACCTAATTCATCTACCCTCACCCTCTCACATTTCACCACCTAAAATTGCCTTTCTATTGTGGCCGAAACCCTAAGTGAGAGAAAGAGACACCATGTTGTAAAGAATGAACACAGAAAGGTGTTCAAAGTTTACCATGGAAGAGATGTAAAAAGAAGTCCTTCAACTATAATAAATGTTTGCCACATTTGAAATGAGAAAACTCAAAGATGCCACCTATAGCTGTTATAGTGACTCATTGGATCGAGAGGAGGAAGGTAATATCTTTCATTAGGAAGTTTCCAGTAATGAAAAACCAATGCCCCAATGAGTCGGCATTCAATATCAGAGGAAAATTTTGGGATGAAAATCAATTTGCCAAATTTTGATGAACGCTTGAATGCAGATAAATTCATTAAGTGACTCCAAATAGTAGAACAAATTTTTAACTACAACGATTTTTTTCAATATAAGAGAGTCAAATTTGCAGTCATTAAACTCAGGATGCACACTTCGTTGTGATGAGAGAATCTGAAATATTTTTGACAACTAGAAGGGAATAATAAGATCGCCACGTAGCCCAATATGAAAAGATAATACAACACATATATTCTTCTGCATTATTGATGGGATATATTTTTAAACTCCACAACCTGTACAGAGGGATTCTTTTGTGGAGGATTACATGACTAAATTTGATCAACTCGTATTGAAATTTGAGTTAGTGGAACCAAAAGAATACACAATGGCGAGGTACATTATAGGATTGAAGCCAACTATTGGTAATATGGTGTAGTTGCATCAATATTGGCTCTTCCTTGATGTGAGTTTTAAAGGCGAAGAAACAATATCTTCACCCAGGGTATGATAAGACAAAAAGAGCACGCTCACTAGAGCACCCAATTTGCCCTCTCACTAGGAGAAATTAGACCAGGTTGGACAAAAGGTTGGGACACTAACACTCTCAAGTCATTCTCGGCCAAGAAGTGCTTTAAGTGTCATGACTTTAGGCATGTAATATTTGATTGCTCTAATGAGAGAGTGGTCTTTTTCATTGAACAAGGTGCATTGGAAGAAATATACAGTGACATTGGGGACATGAGAAAATGTGGATGTTAGAGAGAAGTATTAGCTTCTTAGCAATAAGAGAGAGATGCTAGTGATTTAACATATTCTTCAGACTGAGCCCACGAGAGAGAAATGGTGACTCTGCCGCATTTTTCATATATGTTGCACCATGAAGGGATAGATGCACGGTCTTGTTATAAACGGAGGAAGTTGTGAGAACTTGATTATTATCAAAATGGTAGACAAGTCGAGCCTTTTCATATAGAAGCACACCCAGATTTATTCTGTCTTGTTTGAAGGAATGAGATCACTGTTAACGGATTTCTCATAGAGTTCTCTATTGGAGATAAGTTTCAAGAGCAGGTGTAGTTTAACATGGTACCTAAAAGTGTTTGCCACATTCTATTGGGCCTTCCGTGGCATTACAACTGTTGCACACATCGTGATAGCCATAAGAACACATTTTTCATCACGAATGGTAAACACATCATACTCTTATCTTGGAAGAAGTCCAAGGTATTGAGTGTTCATATAGAGTCAGAGATTATAGTGTCACAAACTACCCTTTTGTAGGCTTTAAGAGAAGCACCAATAGTATTGGCATTTGTGGTTCTAGAAGACTGTGTGTTTGAGGAGTCGATACTAGACATACTGAGAGAGTTTCAAGATGTCAAGGCTAACAATCCATTTCCTCTGTTATCATTACCGAGGGAGATCTGCCATACCATATATTTTATTCTAAGGTCTATTTTTTCAAACCGCCTTGCCTATCGATGTGATCAGTTGAGTACGAGGAGTTGCAAATGTAATTTAAGATGTTTTGTCTGTGAGGTACTAGTCCATGTGCAATTCCAACTCTGATTGTACCAAAAAAGGATGATTCTTGGCGTATGTGTTTTGATAGCAGGCGTGTGAGCAAAATCATCATCAAGTATTGATTTCTTATTCCACTGTTGAATGATTTGCTAGATCAGTTACATGGAGTTAGTGTCCTTTTCAAAATTGATTTTTGCAATGGTTATCACTAGATCAAAGTGAGATTAACAGATGAATGGAAAATAACCTTCAAGCTACGAAATGGGTTGTATGAGTTGATAGTCATTCACTTTAGTATGTGTAATGCAATGAGCATTTTCATGCAATGAGCATTTTCATGCAATGAATGAACCAGGTTTTTTGAGTCTTCATAAAAAAATTCGTGGTTGTGTACTACGATGACATTCTGTTATACAACCATTCAAGTAAGAGCATTTGCAATAGGTTTTTGGAGTTTTTCAGATAGAGTAGTTGTATGGTTACTCAAATAAGTGTCACTTTCTTACACCACAAACGGGCTTCTTGGGGTACATTGTTTCATTTATCGGCTTTGAGATGGATTCATTGACAGTTGAGGCTATTGTGGACCAGCTTAGCTTGCAATCATTTACTCAGGTGGGATAGTTCATGGATTGATATCTTGTTACAGGAGGCTTATTATAAATTTTAGCTCTATGTGCCCTTAATGAAGCTTTTTAAGTTGATTAGATTCATTTTGTCAGATGGCGCTCAAACCAACTTTCAAGCTTTGAAGAAAAATTATTTAGTCCTTGATCCTTGCCCTTCTAGATTTTAATCCGATGTTTGAGGTGGAGTGTGATACTTCTAAAGTGGGGATTGGAGCTATGCTGAGTCTCGGAGTTACACTCTTTTGCTTTTTTCAGTGAAAATTTGAGCGATTTTAGAAAAAAATACCCTATATATGACATGGAGTTTTATGCTATTGTGAGAGCTCTCAAACATTGGAATCATAATCTGTTGGCAAATGAATTCACCATGATTATGAAACATTAAGGTTCATGAATAGTTAGAGCAAGCAAATTGGTAAATATGCCTCCTCGGTAGAGTTCTTACCTTCATTCCATTTTATGCTCAAGCACAAAATAGGAAGCTATAATAAAGTAGCTAAAGGCTCGAGTTGTCTTCAATTGTCGATTATCACTAAGCAGTTGAAAGTCATTGGCTTTAAAGTGATTAAAAATTTAAATGTCACTGACGGATTTTTAGGAGGTTTAAATTCATTGCCAGGATAGGCCGTATGAGCAATTCCACAAATCATACGACTACTTAATTTACTAGAACAAACTATGATTTTCTATGAGTTCACAATAAAGAATATTTTGTAGGAGTGAAACTAACCTGTTAATCCCCATTTACAATAACATGAAAACGAATATCATAAGTTACAAGCATTCATCCAATTTATGAAATGGGGTGGAAACCCCAATTTAACCAATCTATCCAAAATGAATTGTCTATTGAAATTATCAAAATCTTTTTTATTGTCAAATTTAGCACAAAAATATTTAGTAGAGAAGGAAGAATTAAATCCATTAAAGAACTCATTTGACAAGATTATGTTATCAACGATGTCCCGACCCTTAATAAAAAGCAGAATGTGTTGGATGTATGATGGAGGGAAGCAAAGACTTAAGATTATCAACAATCAGTTAGCTAGCATCTTATACAAGATATTGCATAAAGAGCTTGACCTATAATCTTTAAATGACTTGGCATTAGAATGTTTAGGGATAAGGGTAATGGTTGTATGATTCAACCTAATAGGAAGCTTTGAAGATTGAAAAAAGTGTTTAACAACAGAAATACAGTCAGAACCCGAGGGTGTTTTTAAAAAAATCTGTTATAAAACCATCAAACCCTTTAGAACCAATGGAGAAGAAACTTGCTTAATGTTACCATCAGAAAATTCTTCTATAAGCCAATCTAAAACATTCTCATTTAAAGTATTATAAACAGGTACCTCGACATAAGAATACTAGTAATAACAGTTAGAATTGTAAGGAGACCAGAGAAGTAAGAAAGAACTTCATTAATAATATCATTATACAAACTAACACAAGAATCTGTTTATGTATTTCTTTAATGAAGTTTCTGTTTTTTCTAATATTGGCATGTTGATAAAGAAACTTGACTTCATCTTCTCCTTTGGAGATCCAAGCGCATTTAGACCGTTGCTTTAGACATTTGTATTCTCATTTTGAAGTAGTTGAAAGTGGGCTTGATTAGAAGAATGACTAAAATTTTAAATTTTTGTGTAAAGCATTTGTCTCAAGAAGAGACATAATCTTACATTGAGAATCTTGAAGATCAATAATAGTTCTTGAAAGATGATTGGAAGAACACCATACCTATTTTTAATAGCAATTTTAACAGCTTTGAGGAGAATATGGGATCTCTTTAGTAAAATTCCTCTAGGTAGATTCAACTTGTGAAAAAAAATCTAGATGAAATTTCCAGTAATTTTTATAAAACTGCAAGTTGCTTTCTGAAAGTTACCAAAATGAAGAATATAAGGGGAGTGATTTAAAGTAAAAATGCTCTAAGAGTTTATAGAAAGTTGAAGGAATGACAACCATCAAACACACATTACAAAGAACTCATTCTAACAAGCTTTTGATAGGGAAATCAACCGGTTGATTGAACCAATTGTAGGATAATCTAGTGTTAGAAATATCAAAGAGACCTGTAATGTAAATGCAATTATTAAAATCAACAAGTTTACCGGGTAAAAGAGAGATGGCACCCAAAGCTTCCTTAGAATTTTTTATACAATTAAAAGCACCCAATATAATCCATGGAACTTGAATATTCTCAGATAAAGCAATAACTAGGTGCCATAATTCTTTTCTTTTAATAGGATTATTTTTCAGCATAAATGAAAGTCACCAAATAACTGACAGAAGAAGAAAAAACAATACTACCATTGATATATTGAGCCTGAATATCTAGGGTAGTAAAGATAATATTAGAGGAATTCCATTGCACCCAAATACACCCTCTATCCGCCATAAGAAAATTGTTAGAACTTGATCCATTAGGACAAATCTTAAGCTGACCACACAAATGAGGGTCTAGCAATGAAGAAGGGGGAAGATTAGTTTCCAAAAGACAAATGAGTTGAAGATTGTACTATTTAACAAAATATGTGCAATCAGTAGTTTTGAGATCAGTAGAAATTCCTCTAACATCCAAGCCATAATATTTAGGAAAAATATGTCTACCCTTCTTAACTTTAGAAGATAAAGGCAAAACAGAGCTAGGATTATTTGTAGACTTGTTAATTGAAAAATTAACACAATATTTTATAATAACAAAGAAGTAAGCTCAGTGTTTTCCTAGACTTGTGGTAAAGAATAAGGAGCATTCATATTAGATTTTTCTCTATTCAACATAAGGTGAACCAGAAGAAGATTCACCACTGAATAAAGGGGTTTGTATCGGCTTGTTTAAATTAGGAGGCATAATAGGGGAAGAAGGAGGATGAGCTTCTTCAGCAATTGGAGCAACAACTGGAGGAGCAACAAACCGGCCAGTACTTCTTTTCAGTTTAGAACCAACTCTATTCCTACTGCGTTTTCTTCCATGCAGAGGGAAACAGATAGTGATTTATGATTGGGTGATTTAGGGCAAGAAGATACATCATGAGCAAAGTAAGAACAAATTTTACATGCCTCAGGCTTTCATTCATAAAGAAAATCTTGAATTAAATCTTTCCTATTAACATTGATGATAATAGCATCATGAAGGATTGAATTAACATTAATTTGAATGTTAACTCTAGCAAATATGAGGCGTGAGCCTCTGATAATAAGTGGATCTACAACAAGTGAAATACCAATTCTACTCACAATTTTAGAGATGCCCTTCTTCAACCATCAACAAATGGGGAGATTAGGGAATTTCACCCATATAGGAACCTCACAGAAGTCTTCTTTAGTGGGTTTATAAATCGAAGATTAAAAAAAAACAATTTCCATTAATGAAAAAGGTCCACCCGAAAGGAGCATATTTTTGTCCTCCAAACTGTTGAACTTAAACAAAAAGAAACCCTCATTTAGAGAGATAAGCTCCACAATACCTTTCAATTTCCAGATTCTTTGAATAGCTTGCAAAAGATTACTGTAATATGGCCACTTGCCTAATGCATACCCAACAAACACAAGATGTCACTGTCTTGAACAATCTTCCATTTCTTCGTGTGAGAATGGGACTTTCTCATCAGTAAAAGACATGTTAAAGTTCGTAGGATCAGGAGTATGAGAAGAGATCAGCCCTTTCCAGTTAGGGAAGGCCGAGGTCCGAGGATAGAAACATCTTTAGAAGAAGGGAGGGGAGGGAAAGAAGAAGGATCCATATCACACAAAGGGGCAGAAGCCCGAAACAACCAAGAAGACCAAAAGAAGAAGAGGGTTGGGGCTTCAAATAAGGGGGGAGAAGAAAAACTCCAAAACCTAACAGAGCCTTCAAGGAACCTGAGGAAACATACTCATTGCCGTTCTAACTGGCATTTTCAGGTCTCTTTTGGGTTGAGCCTCTTGTATTGTAAATTTTTTCTCCCCAACAAATTTGGTTTTTGTCTACATGCTCCCCAACAAATTTCGTTTTTGTCTACATGCACTTGCTTGCAGATTAGCTAATTAGAATAAACTGATATATCTTAATTTTAATGGTTCTTTCAGATAAACTTCTCTTACAAACTGATATTTATGTATTGCTGGTGAAATTCAATAGGTATTCATTTCACGCCAAGATGGAAATGCATACTCCACTGTTTTGTCCCCAGGTGACCCAGACACACTCAAGTAAGTGAACTAACCAAATAGGACAATATAAATAATTGCTTTATAATCACAGTCTTGTATATTTAACTTGGTGTTTTTTTTGTTCTGCGCTGGTTTGTCTGTATCTTAAGCTGTTGTCATACAGATCAAGTTCACTCTCAGGAATTGAATCTTGGGATTGGAATCTCAACGGGCAGAAATCTACCTATCATGCTTTGTACCCGAGGTCTTGGACAATTTATGATGGTGATGTCTATGAATAAGGAAATTTTTACTGCTTATTCTATGGTGCCCATGGTCTTAATGATGAATTTGTGCATCACGTTCCTGTATATTGCAGGTGAACCTGACCCAAACCTAAAATTAACCTGCCGTCAGATTTCGCCCTTTATTCCTCACAATTATCAACAAAGTAGCCTTCCTGTGGCAGCATTTACATTCACGGTAGCTTCTTAAGTGCCTTTATGCTATACTAAATATATGATGGATATTTCTCATGTGGCAATTTCTGAATTTTTCAGCTCAACAATATGGGAAAATCTGCCGCCAAAGTTACTTTGCTTTTTACATGGGCTGTAAGTTCAGATGCTGAAAATTTTTCTCTGTTGTCATTATTGGCTTTGTCCCTTTGGTATTTAATCATTTTATGTGCTGATTATTGTTGTTGTTTTGCTCTCTGTATTATTTTAGTTGCATTATGTTTAAGGAAAGATGGATCACTCATGTATCAATATTTAACCAGAATTCTGTAGGTGGCAACTCCGAGTTTGCTGGGTATCACTGTAATTCCAAAATGATGTAAGAACCTGATATAATAGATTTAAAAAGCTAAACCGTTATCTTAATTAAGTTGGTATGGGAGTTTTCTGCAATATGTAATTGTGATACTGTAATTTTAACTATACAATCATCCTTCAAATTGTAAATTCAGACTTATTTACATTTTTTCTTACACTCCAGTGCGAAAGATGGGGTACATGGGGTCCTCCTGCATCACAAGTAAGTTCAAGGAACTGTGATTGTTGTAAGAAATACTAATATGATAATTTTTATTGGTATACCGTAAAAAAAATAGGCACACCATTCTTCTATTAACTCGTTGTAGTAGTGCTTGTGAAGGAGGAATGCTGTAGATAAATTTTTAAATAGTTTCAATAAATCATCACTTTCATGGCTTTAGTTTTACCATTATTCTATTATCCGTGAGAAAATCTTATATAAAAATGCAGAACTTCAAACGGGCAATCTCCAGTGACATTTGCAATAGCAGCACAAGAAACAGCAGATGTTCATGTCTCCAGCTGTCCACACTTTGTGATATCGGGGAAATCTGATGCTTTTTCTGCAAGAGAAATGTGGCATGCAATCAAAGAGGTCTATCTATTAAATGATTTCTTCATACCCCTCAACGTGATAATTACATAGATCATCGGTGAATGAAACGTTATACGCTGGCCTTTGCTTCAGTCACAATGTTTAAATTTTGGGTGTTTTCAATTTCTTGTGCTAAGATCATCGGTTTTTGCTCACGATCAGTACATTTTCCATTTCTTTGTTTCTTAGTTTGTACCATTTATTTAACTGTGTGATCAAATTCATGTAAATTGCATCTATTACTTGTGGATAAAGAGCTAGTTTAATGCTGTGATGCGGGAACATCTTCCGCTTCTAGATGAATCGGGCCACGGAATTTCCCACAACTAAATGCAGCACCCGGGTCACACGTGCAGGGTAGAGCTAGACCGAGCGCCTCCTCTTCCAATTTCTTTCCAATTTTGAGCACTTTTTTTATCCTTCCTTTCTAGTACTTACCTATATATATGTGTATTGGAGTTTGAATTCTCAGTTTTTGTGCATTTTCTATCGGGACAACTATTGTCATCTCTGTTTTTCCCTTTAAAGATTGTATCTGAGGGTTTGAGTGGTGCTTTGACTATATCTCGCTCCTGCGGTGGTGACTTCCCTATCTCATTCCACATCCTCCTCACATCGCTTCCAGCAGCCCCCGAACAGTAGCCCGTTGATGTTTTCACTGCAGTTTTCCAATTCTAGCTTCCTGTTCTCGCTGCTGACTCTCAGAATAGCCATTCTCTGTCGCTGCTGCCTCCATTCCCCCTTGCAACAGATACTGAAAGTGACGCCGGTTTTACAATGATCGACTCGGAGCGTGGTCATGACGGTGCAAACCTCAATTATAGTGCCTGAAGCATTCACTTAAAGGTCCTAAGGGCTCCTTGAGTCACGGTGGGCCGCGTACAACCCTCAGTACGATCCTGTTTCAGTCAGCAAAGGTGCCCCGCATTCATTGCATAAAAAATTGATGCCAACAGCTAGCAGCTATTTCAAGCTTTTTGTTGGGTCACATATAAGTATCTGGTAGTCATATAGATCCTTAATGATAAAATCTAAATTATTAGGAGAGATTTGTTTTTGGGACAAACATTGGCAAAACAGACCTTATATTTCAGTTTTTGGGTGGGTGTGGATGATTGTTTGAGCGCTAGTCTAAGTCTTAGCTCCAACCACCTTATTGTTGGGACTCAGGGATTATGGGGAGAGATTATTTTAATGAAAAAGAAAGGGATGAGGGGGAGAGTATTTTAATGATCGTGTGCATTGTAATCTCCGCTTTCTTTTGAGTTTTTGCTAAAGTTTTGTTCGCTAAAGTTTAAAGATACGACTTTTCTAAGCTGCTATTTTAATGTGGAGTACATTTATGAAAGATTTTGAAAAGCTATGCTTTGCATAAAACTACCTATTTGAAAGAGATATTATAAAGTCATCTTTTTTTGCTAAAGCCTGTCAGTTAGATGACGCAAGAAGCTACAACCTCCAGCAATGTGAATCTGTTGTCTTTTGGGAGATGACATCTCTATGCCCTACATTAGCATGACTTATCATATCCCATAAGTTGGTGCCTTCAGCTTTTCGTGAGTCTACTTCTTCCTTTAGTGTATTCGCTCACATCTTGACTATCGATCCACTAGCTCATTGACTTGACTTCATTCAGTGACTCCAGTTCACTGACCAATTAATTTCATTCGACATTTTAAGGCCATGCACCCTTTAAGCTGTGTTCCCCTGTGCTCTTATGTCTACACGCTTGCAAGTACATGCGTTCATTTCAGATCATGCACTTACATGTGCTCCTCAACAGATTTTTTGTTGATAACTTTTGAAGCCATTTAGGAGCCACAATCTCACTAGTAACATTCTTGGCGAAGATGCATGCCATTGTGCGGATCTGTTGACTCACCACGTACTCGTTCTTAGTCCAATCCATCACCATCGAGTACTTTGGACCAAGTTAGCTAACCACCTAAATCACAAAATGAGTCAATATTTTATGAAATCCTAAGATGTTCACAAAATCCAGGTTGTTTAGACTAGGCGACAAAGCTCGAGGAAACTTGTCGTAGGGCTGCTCCGTCATTTTAGGTGAAATAATTGTGTCACTTAGGAAAAATAACTTTCTGTAGATCTATATGATTATATATTTAACATTATTGCAAGTATAATTTTTTAAATATTTTGGATGAATATCTGCATAAATTTTATGAATGCAAATTTGTTTTCATTTATGATATCTATGATATTATCATGTTATGAATTTTATGAATATGCTTATGAAATTTTTGCTTGCAAGTATTCATTTATTTTGAATCATGCATATGATTTATGAAATTGTTGACCTCACTTTTGGTTGAGGTCTAGAAAACTTCTTTAGTAGCCTAGGTCTAGCCATAAGACTTTCCTATTGACTAGTCTTAGAAAATTAGAAGAGGTACCCCACCATTAGAAATTCAAAACTCTTCTTTTTACTCAGCTTGAAATTCCACATATTGATCTTAACCTCTAGCATTTAGTAGGTAAGATCATTATAAGAGAATTCAAGAAGAGTCCCTATAGGATTACTTGACTTTAGGGTCGACCCTGGAACTAGGATACACCATATCTTCACAATATATTAATCCCTGGTTCATTTAGAATGGATATCTATCCAATTCTATGTGAAATGCCTAACTTGATATTTCGCCCCGAGGCACCTCCAAATTACCTAACTGCCCTTGATACCCAAATTTGGCTAAAATTCCCAAATTTTGCCAAAATACCCAAAATTGATCAAAACTCATTCCAAACACCTTGAATACATCCAAATTTGTCAAAATTTCCAAAAATTACCAAATTACCAAGATGCCCCTCCAGACCCAAAATCTAAAAATTCCAAAAATTCCTAAAAAATCCCAATAAATCCAAAATATTCCCAATTTCATTTTGTCCACCTATACCTTGGTCCAATTTGGTCAATTTGACCATCTTTGACAAAAATCCCCAAATTAGCCCTAATATTGGCTAACACCCCAAATTTCAACAATTGAATGCCTTAGACCTCAAATTGGCATCCAATTTTTGTTGAAAATCCTTTATAAGGTCATTTTTGACCAAACACAACAATCAATTTGAGCTTAGCCCAAAGCTAGCTCAAGTTAGACCCAAATTTAACCCTTAAGGGTTTAATTTAGGTCTAAACCCAAATCCAGCAAAATCCATTCAAATTAACCATCAAATCAACTTCAAAACAA